TCGGTGGTTGCTAAAAGCAGCAAGTTAAACTAAGTTAGTCGGGAATCAGTAAGTGTAAAGGTTGCTGCTTAGATTTTGTTGTATATATTAAGAAACTTTACTTGTATGAGGTATGATTAGAAAGGGTATGTCATTAATTGCTCTGCACAGGTTTATAACTTTCCGAATTCGAGAGTTTAACTGGTTAGTACCAAATATAACTTGTAAATCACTTTAGTTAATGAGAAAACCCGGTGCGGCGGGTTGCAGCAATCCGTTGAGGAGTATTTACCAATGGCTAACGGAACTACATTGACTAACTCGCGTCGAAGCGAACTTCACTAGAATCTCACGACTGCGGTTCCCGAAGTCTGCGAACAGCCAATCACAGATGCCGCAATGCTGGTCCTTAGCACGACAACGAATGGCAAGCCTGCTCGCGTGAATGGTTTTTCTATCCACTGGCCTGACTGCTGCCAAATCGGCACTTGGACCCGGCTGGCTTTCCTGGCTGGTCGTATGCTCCCAATTCAAGCTTTTTCTTCTTATTCTCCGTTCCTTTGTGTACACAATATACTATTCCTAACACTCTGGACTTCCCAAAACTTCTTCCCCACCAAGTTTTATTGCAGAAGCAAGTTAGCATAATGTGACCACAGCAATCAGAGGACTACCATGGTATTGTCACACGTTCCGGCGTCAACTTGTAGGTCATAATTCAGTTATATTACCTTTTAGCAGATTGCCCAACTGAGTGACTTAGACGGCGGCAACATAAACGTTTTCGCGGACCCTGTTCACGAACCAGATTACCGCCTACCTTATATTTTATGGGCGGTCGGATAGCGAAAGGTCTTTTCTAGAATTCGACCTGTACGACGTTGTGGCAGGTAAGAAATGACGGCAAGAATGATTATAGAGGCCGAAAAATCCCGTCGACTTATAGGAAAAAAAATTACCTTCAAATGTTTGGTAGCCCGACTTGAAATTTTTTCGTTTAATTCCACCAATAGGAGGATTAATTTCTATTTTCGTTAAATTCCGCCTACATAAGGCCAAATTTCCCTCGATTAATTTTCGTATTCTACGCAATAGAGGTTTATGTTGATTGAATTTAGCTCTATTTAGCATAGTAAAACAAACATAACCTTATTCAATTTAATATTTTTTGATCAATTCCGCCCCTATTACATATTAATTTAAGCTCACTAGCCAAGAATTAAATGTTCAACCACAAAATAGTTTAAGCAGTTGGGCGGGGGGAATAGATATCTAGTGGGCCCTGCAGATCATTTTTGCCGAAACGACCTATTCTGGTATGATAATTTTGAACACAGAAGTTGGGCTGACATGGAGCATGGCGCACAATTGCGACCGTGAGGAAATCCCCAAGGCCTTGAAGAAAGCCTTCAAAAGGGCTTACGACCGCTACAAGCGGAGGAATTACTGGTCGCTGCCATGGTGAGTTCAATCGAAAACTTCATTTACGATGGCGCACCATGTGTTTACAATACTGTGTGCACCACTGCTTCATACTTATTAACTTGGCAATGTACTTTCCTTCTAGCAGACGACAATCCATCGGCTCTTCAACAGGCCCTACAATGCTCTCACTAACGGACTTCCAATTATCACCACAGGTTTTATTTTTTTAGTGTACAATGATATTTTTCCCTTCTTTTTATGCAAAATAAATCTTGGCTACCATTAAACTCCTTCAAAAAGTACTTTACTACTGCGTTTCGACAAAGGGGGATGGAAATTTCGCAAGCTAAGAGGTACCCCCTTACCGGCTAAAAAATGAAAGTCGACATTATGGAACTTAAGTTGAGCCCGTTCTGAGATCTACATTAGTGACAAAACAAGTTTGATTGGAAATCGAATTTGTCGAATTGTAGAGCTCTAATTGAATTCGACTCGAACTCGATTTCCCATCAGGGCAGCAACCAAATCAGGCGGTTGTAAGGTCGATCAAAGTAAAAAACAACAGAATAGTTAAATCTTGGCAAAGAAATATGATGTTAACAAGGTAAAAAATAGTATCACCTGTGTAGGAAGAACTTGTTTGAAGTCTTCATCTTACCTTTGATTAGGTCTTGAATGCGAGCCACCTTTGTGAAGGAGCTTGAGCCAGCGGGAGGCAGGCAAATCCATACACTCTCCAAATCGCCAGTGCTGATCTGGTTTTCAAGGAAGCAGGTTTGGTTGTGGGGTACTTGGAGCAGGTCGCAGTGCTGGTACTTTCCGCCATTGAGATCGACTATCACATCAGCCCGACTATGTGGACTCATTTTATGTGCAACGCCGGATTTCGTCATCCAGGGATCAATCATGCGGATGGGGAGCGCCGAGGAGCAAGCAGGCTGTTCGTAGGAATCTTCAAGAAAAAGAGTAAAGAAGGAATTAGCACAGCCACTCACAAAACTGACCGCTGACGCCTATTTGCAACGGTGTCTGCCGATTCGGCTCCACACGGTAAAACAGATATGGTAAAAGAGGAGGCAGTTACGTTTTCATCGTTTTATTTGGAGATGTCGCGTCTGCCTGTCAACTTATAAAATATGCAACTAAAATCGGTGACTATAATCTGGTGAGGTGTTAGGTGTTTCCAGCTGAACGGTGGAGGAGCAAACGAAATGCCCTGAGCTCCCCAACAGAACGTACCAGTTTGGGTTGCATGGAGTTCAGTGGCAAATCTGGGTAGCGTAGAATCAAAACGTATGAATTGTGTATGGAACTTGACAGTTTTTGTCCATGGGCTGTTGCACCATTTTCGTTCTGCAATTTGTTACAGATACAAAACACTATTTGCCAACTAAAGTTAGGTAGGACGACGAACGGGCGGACTTCTGCTACAGTCCAAGCCGAGCTTAGATAAAGTAGCCTATTAAAACAAACAAAACAGGAACCGGGAATCATTCTGTTGCATATATATATTAATAGAAGACTGAGCATCCATCCTAATTCCTTGCCTCCCCTCCCTCTGCATTGGTTTAACCCCTATTGAATATAACTGCCAACACCTATAAATACTGTAAGGCGCGGTACAACTACCACTTCTGACGACGGAAGCCTGTACGCTTTTGAAACGTCAGGACGATAAAAAAGGACAGTTCCCGAGATCGCCTTAACTTCTCATATATATGTGTATTTTTTAGGTATTACCAACAAAGACAAGGACGCTAGGATAGCTATTTCTGGCTTATTAGCCGCCGTCAGCTAGTGATATCCAACTCCAGCGTAGCCGCCGAAATAGCTGCCACACTCGAGTTTTGAACCCGCGTCTCTCCTGTCAGAGGCAAACGCCTTGCAACATATGCTTGGACATACTAAGCCTGTACAGTCGCCTACTATAGTGTACATTAACAGTTAAAAGGAACTTTATATGCAAACTGGTGAATATATGAGCTATCTTACCACTATACCGAGTCAATATATACTGAGCTCTGGTGACGGGAATATCAAATTCAGGAGAACCAAAGACACCGACTGAAAAGAGTTGCACTTCATATACTGTTCCGGCGCTCAGGCCGTCAATAAGACAGACTCGTTGGCTGCTCGAAACATCAGTGGACATACACATTGGTCCAGCTTCCTCATTCAAGTGGACGATTATATCCTTCTCTGTTAGGCTTTCTGTAATGTTCCAGATTAATTTTATGGTGTCCGTTGTTACTTCCGCCACTTTGACCATAGGACGCACTAAAAATGGGATTAAAAGAAGATAAACAACGACAAATGTAGTTGAAAAAGGAAATACTATAGTTCGAAGAAGAGTTTAAGGTGCCAGACGTTTCGCACGCCCACTCGAATAATTCATCAGCTAAATAAATATATAAATATGTAAAATCAAATGAAATAAAAAAGACTGCCTCACCGGATGTATATAACTAACGTTAATCAAGTACCTGAACCAATCTGCAATAGGAACAATGTAAAGAAGCATCTGAAAGGTTCAATTATCGTCCGTGTTCATTTTCAGATGGAGCAAGTGGCAAGAAAACTAGCAAAATCATCTAGTTACAGACACATATTCAGTACAAGTACAAACGCATTCGCTATCCAAGGCTAAGACAATGGTTAGGCATTCCGTCAGAAACTTCAAAACTAAATTCGGAAAGGTTTATTTAAGCAGGGATTAGTGTGAAGCCCAGTTGCAATATATTCCATTCCAGTAAGAATCTCGGCTTTTTAATGTACTGCATTTTGAAAGCAAGGTATGCATTTTTTCACAAAAATCCAATTGGAAGCCCTGTGCCTAAGTGCAACTGCAGGTTAATTTTAAAGTTATTTGACAGTTAAAAGGTTGTTTTTGTAAACCGAATGACATAATTTTGTAAGTGTGAACATTGAACAGAATGTACTCTGCTGCAAAATGAGTACGGTATATAAAAGTTTTACTCATATTTTCTATGTAAGAGACTGAAAGTGACTGTCAAAACTTCACGTAAATTACGTGGTAATTTATTTCGGATTGTAGTTGTTAGAGACGGTTGGAAAGGATCTCTGCTGCAGTACAATCCCACTATCTCGCCCAAATAACCCCATTCACTCATTAAAAAAACATACTATTAACCTTTGGTCCAGACGATGGGTAAGCACAGACCCTGAGCGGTGCTAAGCAAGTTTCGCAGGTGCGAAACAAATTGCCTGACCTTCTAGTGGGGCAGTATAATCAACCGCGTTTTAATTTAGCGTTCGCGCTAACCACAAGTATATGCAGTGAAATGCTTTGATGTGGCTTGCATTCAGTCAAAAAAACTGATAACGTTTATTTGGAAGGGTCGCGGAGCGCATTCTCGCATCGAAGCTGCAGTTCTCATAGGTTGAGTAGGCAGACTAATTAGTAGATGAGAGCTTAACGATCGATATCAGAACTCAGTCGTACGACTTCTTCTTGGGGCATACCCTCGACCCCGCCAGCGGCCGCACAGCGTCTGATAGGCTAGGCAGATAGTACTGCTGGCAAATACAAGGGAGACTATAATTTGTAGATTGCAAGAACAGCAGGATTTATTGTATCCAGAAATTTCAGGAGCGCTCATCAGCTACTACCTCTCATTGCATAGCGTGAATAACGTAAAAGAAAATAAAAAAATTGAATTCATACAGAAAATCGATACAAACAGCAAGGTCGTTCCACTATTACAGGACATTTACTAGAAACGGGCCATTCTGTATACCCTAAAACTTCTTTCCGAGTACTTGTTCGAGCACGAACAACTAGTACCTTGCGCTGCCTGGAGGCAGTCTATATACGATGGTCAAAACCAGACCTATGTAAATAGTTGCAGCATTTGGTAAAGCTAACTTTGCCTTGGTAAAATCCGGCTCTCAGATTTGCACAGTCCACTTCCCAACTTTTTTGCCTAAGACGTTTTTCCCACCTTTTTTGCTGCCCACACTGTCTTAACTTTCTTATGTTATTGATTAGTCTCTTGGCCATTTCCTATGACCTGGCTGTTTGCATCGATTTTTCTGTATGACTTGAATTTTGTATTTTCTCTTACGTTAGTCACGTTACGCAATGAGAAGTAGCAGCTGATGGACGCTCCTAAAATGTATGGATCCAATAAATCCTGCTGTTCTTGCAATCTACAAATCTGCACCCGGAAAACTTTGCTTTAAATTGAAGACTGGAATGGTCATTTGTGGATTTTTTAGCCAGCATAATCCAACCCCAGACAGTGAGTAGACCACTCAAGGTGCTGTGATGCTACTGGTGCGGGTTGAGAGTGTGTCCGGTTATAGATCAGTGAGCGCGCATTCACTTAGGTCCATATTCCCGATCGAAACCGGTAAGACAAGGAGCTCATGGCGCAGTGGTTGGAGCGTTGACAGTCTAGCCAACAGGTCGTGGATTTGGAGTATGGGTATGCCCCAAATAACGGTTTATAAGTCAGCAATGGCCATTTTCAGCTTGCCTAGAGAATTATAATGCCCTGAGGGGGAGAATGAGCGGACTGGAAGGCAGTAACTTACTTGCAGGATAAATAAAAGTTGACGGTCGACTGACTGCTCCGGAGCCCGCGAATATTGTGACGGAGATCGTGTAAATAGCACCAGGCTGAAGTCCATGAAATTCGCAGGTTAAATCTTTGCTGGTTTTCGCCAGTACGTTGCACTGCTGAGGGACAGTGCTGCCCGTGCGGATGGTGGCAGTGTGCTTGTACAAGCCATACGCGCTATCATCTGCGACTTTCCAGGAAACAATCATGTGGTCTGCCGAGCGGCCAACTGCGTACACTTGTTGAGGACCTGCAGGGAATGCGACAAGACTGGCTTAAGTAGAGGCACATGTTTTAACCGTGATCATCTCCCCAATAAGAGGTTCGGAAAGCATACTTATGCGTTCAGGAATTTTAAAAGGAGACAGAATCACATAAAGAAAAGTAGGACCATGAGAGAGACATGCACCACGATCAGGAGAGAA